ATCCTGTTTTGCCAGCACTGCTTTAAATGTTCTCGAGTCAGCCTGTTGGATGTTGGCATGCCTTTGATGAGCCAGTATTAGGGACATATTTTTCTCCCTACTCAGGTTGTAATCATTGATGATTTGCCATCTTTTCTCTTAAGTGTGGAAATTTATGTCAACATTGGTTAGAATCTTAGGAAAGTTAGAGAGCTTTGTAATAAGGGCCCATTTAATTTTTAAGCCCACCTTGATTGAAGGCAACATGGTATCAGTGGAGAGAAAACTCTTTTACATCTAAACAATTAGCTTTTATTATTGGTGTTGCCCTGTAGAGGTGGCTTAGTTTGATGGGAAGGACAGGTATAGCAATGAGCTTCAAAAAGACAATGAGGCTTTTTGTGTGCGTGCATGCATGCGTGCGTGCGTGTGTGTGTGTGTTATTTTAAATGAGTACAGCCCCAAACCAGAGCATGAAATACCCATATTGTGGGTTTGATCCCCAGCATACAGGAGGCAACTGACCGGTGTTTCTCTCTCACATGATCTCCCTCCCTCCCTCCCTCCCTCTCTCCCTCCCTCTCTCTCCCACCTCACCTCTCTCTAAAATCAATGGAAAAATAATCTATTCATTCATTTTATTATAACAACATTCATTTCTTAGGAATGAGTAATGATTATTAAGAACAAAATAAAAGTGCCTTTTTTGTTACATCACATTTGGCTTCAATGTGATTTATAAGTCAGATGAAATTTTATAATTAAATTTGTGCATCTTTCCACTTTACAAAGTGTTCATTTCCTCAAGTCCTTCTTATATCATATTTACTGAACTGGAAGATAAATATTGAAGATGGTCTTACTAAGTAATTTGGCATCAGCTTTTTTTTAGCATCTCAGTTAAGTAGATCTAACTGTGGATTGGTTGCTATTTGAAGAATTAGAAACTTGCAAGGACTCTTGTATTTTATTAATTTTAGTGTTTTCAAGAATTATTAAAAAATACATAATGAAAATACAGAAAAGTACATAAAGAAATAAGTACAATTCTATTACCTGGAGTTATACAGTTTAGTATATTTTTTCATAGTATTTATTTTATATATTATCTGTGTGTTTTACAAACCATTACAATATTTAATGGCTTAAAGCAATGACAACTCTTTGGCTGGTGATTCTGTATGTCATAGTTTAGGCTGGGATCAGCTGGGTGGTTCTTCTGTTCCAGGCTGGTTGCCTCATTCATCTGTGGTCAGCTACAGAACAGTTCTTCTCTTGGATGGATTCTCTCACATGTCTAGAGCCTTAGCTCTGGTCAATGTGATCTCTCATATACCAGCAGAGTAACTTGAGTTTGTTCACATGACAGAATCTAGGGCCCCTTTAGAGACAGCAGAAATGTACAAGGACTCTTGAGCAAAAGGCTTTGAGTTGGCATACTATTGCTTCTACTGTCTTCTATTGGCCAAAGCAGGCTAAGCTACAAGGCTACCCCAGATCAAAGGGTGGGGAAATAGACTTCAGCTCTTGATAGGAGGAGCTGCAAAGTCACATTGCAAGGTTGTGGGAAAAGAGAAGAGTGAAGATCGGTGGGCATTTTTGCAACTTACTGCAGTGTGTGTGTGCATGTCATATGTATGCATATGTGGAAACCGAGAGCATATGCAATTATTTCTGCATTTTTCATCACCAGATAGGCTTCAAATTTTAGTGGCTATTTCAATACTGTGAGATATTTGGGAGATGAAATGAATTTTAAAAATCTTTTTAAATCTTTTTATTTATATATTTAATATAAAGGGAGGGAGAGAGAGAGAGAAACATCAATGATGAGAGAAAGAATCATTGATCGGTTGCCTCCTGTATGCCCCCCACTGGGTATCCAGCCTGCAACCCAGGCATGTGCCCTGACCAGGAATGGAACCATGACCTCCTGGTTCATAGGCTGACACTCAGTCTCTGAGCTACATTTGGCCGAGCTTAAATGAATTTTTATATGAGAAGTTCCTTAGAAGGTATGTAGAACAGAGGAGGTAGATACTCAATAAATCATAGTTTAAAAAGAAAGAAAAAGAAAATAAAAGTTCTTTAAGAAACTGCTTAAATACCATCAGTCTAATTTCTGGGTTGGTTTTATTTCTCCTCTGATTTCTTTCCACATTTACTCTCCTGGTTGATGATATCGAGGCACTGGTAATGGGAGAGAACTTGTTTCTGGGCTCCAGTTCAGCCTGTCACCAACTGGGAGACCTTGGAAAAGTCACTTGACTTTATATCTCAGTTACTTCATCTATTTAGTGAAAATAACTATTTCACAGAGCTATTGGGGGAGAATTTAATTCTCATGTATATCGACATGTGTTGGAAACTCTAGATGTGTTATTATTTTTTAGGAACTCTTTGAACATTTGTTTTGTAGAATTTCTAGAACATTTTTTTACTTCACATTTTTTTCACATCCCCAGCATCTCAAACTGACTGATTTTAGCTTTTCTTTGAAAGAAGTTGTGTTAAAAACAAATAAAAACAACAACAGGTATTTCTGCTTAGTGCATATTAAAGAAAATTTGACTTTCACAGCCTTAGCCTGCATACTGATCTTCAAAATACCATGGCTATTTCTTTAATCTGACGGAGCCCCCTAGCATAACATCTGCCTTCTCTGATCAGAAATGACATTCTTAACATCAATAAACTCGTGGGCTTTTCTGACAGGAAATACTTGTGAGGATGTATGATCAGTTATGGGGTATGCTTATCAATAAATTTTTCTTACAAAAACAAATCAGAAATCCTATCAAAATAGCACTATGAAAAAAATCTATTTTCCTTAGTACTTCCCATAAAATGGTCATGCTTGAAGCTTATGAATATTTTTATTTAACTGAAGGCTCTATATTTAATCTGTGTGCTGGCCATCTTTCCAACCAGTCAATTTGCATAAATTTCATGTCCTAAGTAGGAAGAAAATGGTTGTGGTCTGGAGTCAACCTTTTCTCTGTCAAGTCTATATTGCTTTTCTTTCCCTTGACTGGCTGCTTCCACTTACCACACCCTGTGGATTTCACCGTAAACCCCCTTTATTCCCTCCCACTACCGACATACATCCTTCCTTACCCCCAGAAAGAGAACGTCTTCCTGAAACTCGCTTTTACTTTGCCAGTTTCTAAACAGTGAATGAATCGAATTTTCTCTTATTTTGAAAATGTGTTTGTACCCATCTTTATAGTTGATTCATTCATTTTTGTTCATTGATTGATTCATTCATCCATTATTCAGCAACAGCGTTGTACACACCCTGCTGGATGCCATGGATAAAAAGACAGATAGGTCCTAGTGCTGTCCTGTGGATGTGCCCTGTCGTAGGAGGTGCCCTGTCGTAGGAGGGACAGTACATGAAAGTGACATTTGGCCAGGGCTTTAAGTGAGAGAGAAACAAGGCTCTGGGAGCCTGGGCAGTGTGGGGAGAAGACCACACTATGCCTTCCTTCCTAAGGACCATAGCTGTGTGCTATGACAAGAGTCAGAGTCAGGAGTGGATGCGGTGAAGAGCAGGACAGCGATGATTTGGAGCTGGATTAAGCTTTGTCATGTGAAATCAGGGTGCTGCACAGGCATACACACTGACTGCTGAGTTAGGACGGAGGAGTTTTATTGACCGGGTCTCTGGTATGTTCTTCATTTCCCCAAATGAAGCCATTTCACATTTGCTGAGAACAAATTGCCTATGAGTCTAGGTATTTTATGTACTTCATCCTATTTTACCGCAGACCTTCCACATAAATATCCCCTTTTTGTAGATAAGCAAACTGAGGCTGAGGAAGGCTAAGTAACATCCCCAAGATCATGTAGCTAAAGAAGCAGAGCTTAGAATTCAGAGCCAAACCACTGTCCCTGTAAGATGGTAAACCCAGTGTTAAAATAACAGGCACAAAGGAACAAATGTCATAGTGAAATGCAGTATTTGCAGTTCTCACCATCCTCATAGTAAAGCTGGATCGGGCAAGGCTCATCCATGATGTTAAATCCAAGCATAAGTGTGCAGGATATATGTGGGATGCTTAAGTTCTCCCACGGATTGTTTATTAGTAATAAAAGAAAAGGGTGATTATGAAGTAGAGAAATTGGACCATACTTTTGACCATGATAAAAATTCACATCCCCATGGAGAGGCAGACAAGCAGTATGTGCCTCTAGATGTGATATCCTGAGTGGAACACAGCATCACCTGTGTGGGGTTCTGGCCCGGAACATACAACCTGGATCTGATCACGAGGAAACATCAGACAAATGCTCTATTCACAAAGCAGGGGGAGGAAGGAGTGTATCCTTCAAAAGTATCACTATCATAAAGGACAAAGGAAGGTTGGGGAAATGTTCCAGATTAAGGGAGGCTCAGGAGCTGTGGCAACCAATACAGTGTCTGACCTTTGACTGTGTCCTGCACTGGAGTGTGGGGATCAGGGGCTTGGGGGCCCTGAGTCTCGGCTCAGTTGACAAAATTGGAATATGCATTGTAGAGGATCGGACATGTCGATGTTAAATTTACTAACATTAGTAACTGTAACTGTTATGTAACTATGGTTATGTAAAGGAGAACACCTCTTCTTAGGAAACACACACTGATGTATTTATGAATAAAAGCCCAGTAAAGCTCAAATGGTTGGTGGTGAGGGGCTAGTATGCAGGCGCGCGCGCGCGCACACACACACACACACACACACACACACAATTTATATATAATACTTAAATATACACATATATAAAATAGAAGTATAATATGCAAATGAAGGAAATGGTAAAATGCTAATAGGAATAGATAAAGGGTCAAAGAATATATGGGTGCTCTTGTACCATTTATATCCTTACAACTTTTAAGTCTGAGAGTATTCCCCAATAAAAAGTTAAAAAATAAAAAATGATATTACTAAGCCAATTACTGGTGTTTTTTTAAAAAAATATTTCTTTTTATTTTCTGTTCTTTTTCCTCTTTTCTCTTTTCGGCCTCCACCCCTCATTAGAAGTTGAAGGCTGGCGAGAGGGGCATCTCTGTGGGGCAGACCGTCATCACGAAGCACCGGAACACCCGGTACTACAGCTGCAGAGTGATCGCTGTGACATCGCAGACCTTCTACGAGGTCATGTTTGATGATGGCTCCTTCAGCAGAGACACGTTCCCTGAGGATATCGTGGTAAGTTCCTGGGGTGCATGTCCCCAGTTTACTTTTTGGTATAACTAAAGCAGCTGAACCTTTCAGGAATCTTTCTTCTGACTTTGGTAGTAGCTCTTTCATTTATTATTTCATTCAGATGTGCTGTTTTCCCACCACAAATAAATATTGTTTTCTAGGAGGTTCTTTAGTCTTCATCATCCTAAATAGTAGCCAGGTAAGTGTAGACTCATCTCCTCAAATTCTTTTAATTAAATGAGAAATATATGGGGCCAGGGAACACAAAATGCAAATTCACCTATTCTTTCCTGTTACAGTTAGCACATTTGAATACCTTTATTACTTCTTTTTCTTTGTGCTTAACTAAAGAACATGGCTTTTACTAACCTGACTTGACAGTGGCACCTGTGATCTGGCAGATGTTTCATACAGCAGTACCAAAAGTCACTCAGAAAAAGGGCTGTGACTTATACTGAGTTTCTTAACTGGGGTCTGGAATGAACATACGTGTGTGTGTGCGTGCACACACATGCGCATCCATCTACCTGTCTGTGTCCTGTTTCCTCGGTCCCCTCAGTGAACCCTTGGGAATTACTCAGAGGATCAGGTGAATGTGTCTCAGGAGCCTGTTTCTAGCAGGATGTTTCAAAAGAAGAACAATTTTCATGGAAGGGTTTTTGAAACAGAGATCAACCAGATAACGGGTCAGGGTTAGTCTAGTGGTCATCTTGTTACCCTTATGTGCTTAAGGGAAGTATCGTTTTGGGGAGCCAGGCCTCAATATTGTATTTGTAACTTCTGCCTTGTTCTAGGTCTGCTGATGCTTTGCTCTTTGTACTTAGAAGGTCGTTTTTTAATGACTTGATAGTAATAACTATGTATTATGTGCAGTTGATAATTACAGGTGACCATATGAGATTGCTCATAAATATTGCTCGAACTTCAGTCCCTTGGGGCCGAAGGAACATTGACTTAGTCAGCTTTTTATGCTCACTTCTCTATGCTGTTAAGAGACACACGTTTGTAAACACAAGTGACCATATTTGGAAGGTTTTAAAACAAATGAAGGTAGACAAATTAACAATCACAGGACTTGATCCTACACCAGAAGGGTGAATGAATTGTGCTTCTTTGCAAAATTCTAACTGGAGCTTCACTTTGCTGCATTGCCATCGCCACACATAAACTGCAGCCCTTAGGTAACGTGCTTAACTGGTCAGAGTAGGTTGTCCCTTTGGGCACTCAACACACAGTCACTGGGTACCTGTGTGCCAAGCATAACACTGGGAGCTGGCAAAATAACCAGAAAGAAGGTGCGATTCCTGCTCAGTTGGGGGGAGGAAGCAGGCTAGTAAATGGGTGCTTTCCATAAGTGTGATCAATACCATGAGTAAACCGGGTGCCACTTATCACCTGTTGGGTCCAGAAGAATGAGTAGGAGACTCCCCAGGGTTAGTCAGGCTGACACCGACTGACACGTCCAAGGCCAGGACTGCTTCAGAAACCTAATGTGTGTGGACTCATTTTCTCCTCACAACCTTACGTGTTAGGCACTACTATTTTCCACATTTTGTTTCTGAAAAAACTGAGGCACAAGGAGGTAAATAACTAGCAAGTGTCAGAAAGAGTATTTAGTCCCAGCGCCTGGCTTTAGAGCATGTGTTTTTAACCCCTGGGAAGAAAGGCCATTTGAAGCAGGAGGAGAAGGGTTTCCAAGGCCATGAAAGGCCTGACCATATACAGGAGACCAAGGCCCATGGCTGTGGCCAGCCTTGCCTAGGCAAAATACTTACTTCAGAATCAGCCTTCTTTTGTGCAAACTGTGAATCCTGAGCCGGCAAAAGAGAGAAAACTTGGGTGGGGAGCATTGTGGGGTGTGATAAAAGACCTCTGAGCACTCACTAATCCCCAAATAGTTAGGTCTCTGTCTGTGTTAGGACATATTGAGTCCTAACTTCCCTTTCACTTTACAAACCTCCATACACCCAGCCAGTTTTGTTTTTTTTCCTTTTTGTTGAATTTATTGGGTGACACTGGTTAACAAAATACACAGGTTTCAGGTGCCCAATCTACAGCACATCATCTTTACACACAGCCGGCCAGGTGTAAGCTTCTCTGGAACATCTTTAACTTGTACATTGGAAAAGAGTGTCTGTGATCCTGGAAGTTTCTGAAATTCCATAAATTTTCCTTTGACACTGTCTGCTCTGACTCTCTGTGAAACTTTAAGTTTGCTTCTAAGTACATGTGGGTGTTGTGAGAACACTGGCTCCAAAATGTATAAGATTGTTCAGAAGCACCATGGCATTGAAATCAACAGGAATGGAAAAGCAAAAGTTTGTACAGCTTAGTTAGCATTACTTAGTGTATTCAGCCAAGGTTTGGGGGGTTTATGTAGGCACGTGTGTGTGGTCAGAGCCCTACCCTTGAAGGGAGGGACAGCATGTGCAGTGATGAGGGGCATAGATTAGAGGGGGACCTACCTGAATATGTGTGATTGTTAATTTCTTCAGGAGAACAATATGATAGTCCTCTGCGAGCAGGTCTTCTCTCTCTCATCCAGTCCTTCCTCGCTGTATATTTCTCCCCACCCCATCCCATGTCTCACATTTTGGGTTACTTGTTTCAGGCCTCTTACACCAAGTAGGAAGGTTTCAATCATGTTGTGTTTTCAGATTTCACCTACTTTCTAGTAATCCCGCCCTTTGTTGGCTTCCTGCTCTTTGTTATCTTGGTGCTAAGTGAGGCATTCCCAGGACATCTTGGATGGCTCTATAGGGAGATGTTTTTCCCTTAAAATATTGTATTCATCAGAGTTCTCTAGAGAAACAAACCAATCAGTGTGTTTGTATGTATTTAATACAATAAATATATTAAAAGTGTGTAAGAGTGTGATTTATTGGCTCATGTGGTTATGGAGGCTGAGAAGTCCCAAGGTCTGCTGTTGGCGAGCCAGTGGTGCAGTTCCATCTGAGTCTGCAAGCTGAGAACCAAGAGATAGGTGTGCAGGTGTGGTGTGAGGCCGCAGGCTTCAGACCCAGGAAGGGCCCTTTTCATTTAGAGTCTAAAGGCGCAGGAAAAAGCCGAGCCCCAGTTCAAGGCAGGCGACAGGAGGAATTCCCTTTCTGGAGGAGGCAGAGGTCACCCTTTTTGTTCTATTCAGGCCTTCAGTTCATTGGCTGAGGCCCACTCACACTGGGGATGGCACTCTTTACTCAGTCAACCAACGCAAATATTAAACTCATCCAAACGTCCTCACACACTCACCCAGAGTAATGTTTGACTAGATATCCGGGTGCTCCGCAGCCCAATCAGGTTGACACATAAATTAATCATCACAAATGTCTGATCCTGATGCACTTTAGAAGACTCTTTACCTTGTGGGGCCGGGAGCTCGGACTCTGTGGCAGAGGATTATTTCCTTTTCGATGAAACAGTGGCCACATTGTTTCAGCCGGTTTGTAGCACTCTGTCGATCCAGTCCATTAGCCATGCACTTGGTCCTGGTCATCGTCCAGGCTCCACAAGGTGAAGTCATGGGGTTTTAAGGCAAGCTTTTAAAGGGTTATGCAAGGTTGGTTGGGGTCTGTGCTTCTCACTGAAATTAATGAAAGCTATACAATTAAATGCCATTATAGTATGTCACCTAGACTTCAGTTTGAGATCGGGGAATTTGGTGTTTAACTTTAAGGCATATTGGATGACTGTAATTAAGTACATGTAAATTATATTTATTCCCCTATATGATGGTGTAAATATGTTTACACCATCATTGTTAGGCCACGTGGTTTAATTGCTGTGATTGTCCCACTTCTACTTTTGATATTCATCTACACTAATTTACCCAATGTGCTTATCAGGTGTGAGTGCTGCTGGGAAGGTTCTTTTCCCAAATTCAGTGTGATGTCAGTGTTACTGGCTACTGAACATTGAGCTTCTCTAAGCTGTGGTGCTTGCTAGCTAGAACTGCTGTACGGGTATAGCACAATTTCAGTTGTCTAACTATGAAAATCGGATTTAGAATATCAAGTTTAATCATCCCAACGATTTATGTATGTCATGAATATCTTCCCTTTTGAAGCCTGATGCTTTAGTAAGGAAAGTCACATTCCCTATATATAGAATCACTGATTACAAATCATTTTCTGAACCCAGAGAAGAGAACCTTTCATGCAGTCCGGCCTGTCATGTTTTAAAATAAGTTTACCAAGCATTAAAATGCCCATGTTAGGCTTACGTGACTAGAGAGAGTATTTGAAGCTGTAGAGAGAAACATTCTTTGGACTACCAGGAAATTTATTTCCATACCTTTATCTGTGATAGCTAGAAAAACGTCCAAAAATTCTCCTCTCCACGGTGCACCTGCAGAAGGTGTGTATCAGCCCAGTTACACTCAGCATGCAATCTGTAGCTGTCAGGGGCGGTAATAAAAGATGTATTGCCACGCGCCTCCACCTGTTGGTCTATGAAATTGCGACACACTTCCTGATGAATTTTTTGTCTCTTACAATTTTGATGGGAATGGAAGTTGCCCACCCGAGAGAACTCAAGGAGCATAGAGATTCCGGGCCCCCGTTTAAGCTCTGGCAGCCCATGCTGACCCCAGAGTGACGACAGGTTCCTTTCTAAGTCTGAACTTAGAGCTCATTTCCAGGAAGGAGGCTGGTGCATCGGGACCTAGATAGTTCTAGGATGAGCACTTGACATTCACCAGTGGGCATGCAAGAGAAACAGGACCATTTAGAGATTCGACAGCAAGAGTCCATCACTGCAATTTCCACGAGGACTCGCTGCATTTTTCAGCCTCGGCTGATGTGTGGAAGAAGCATGAGAACTATATTCTTCAGGGTTGTAGGGATGTATTGTCAAGGCCTTTAGTTTGTGGGCTGTACGGAGCAAACTGAAGTTCTTAGAGCTGATTTTTTTTTTCTTTCAGGTGTTTTTAAAACACATTGCTTAAACTTGTGAGCCTCCATTATTTTCCCCTCATTTTCTTCACCGTCTAGTTTATGCTGTCTTTT